AAATATATATTTTGGGAGATTTTCTTTTCTGTTTATGGATTTGGAATTGATGACCAGAGCATCTTTTTCGTCCATAAACTAAAATTGGAGCACAATTAGTATTGTTTTCTTTTCTTGTTATATGGTTTTGTTTGCGTGTGGTTTTATGATCTCATAATTTCAGTAGAAAAATTGTAATGATGGGACAATATTTTAAATTTGTCCTTTTGAAATTTGAATGTGTTTGATGAGAATATTTCATTTATAAAAGAAGAAACAAACAGAGCAGACAAGAAATGCAGCAAAAAAATTTAACTTACCTAAGGCTTATTTTGCTACGGGCTCCTTGTTGTAGATGTATTTGTTTTATATTTGTAACTATTTCATTTGCATTATTTTACTGAATAGTGGATAGTTATAGTTTAATGATTAAATAATTTTTATATCAAGTATTGATAATAGAGTTAATTTGGTCGTCATAATGGTTTATCAACTGGCTTAGCCAATAATGTGTTCATAGCTTTCTTCATAAATATCAACCAATATTTCATACCAAAAAAAGAAAGAAAAAAGGTTGGTCCAAAACCAAAATAAACAAAACAAGAGAAGTAATCAACACAAGCTTTAAACCAACTTTGAGTGATAATTTCTTGTGAGCAAAACTTGGTGCCCATTTAAGTACCAAGAAGTGCACTGCACTAATAATTTGGCAAAAAAGTCTGTAAATGATGGAGAAAAATCTAAAGAAGCACCTCAAATTGCATTGGCCATCAAACACTTGGATCATGGCATATTCGCACGGTCGAACAAATGTGGTTTTCGCTTGCGAAGTTTATAAAACACAACTTTTCGGAAAAGGTCAATGCCTTAAACACATTGTTACAACAGAAAATTCAAAAGCCACAACGGCAAAAGCAACATCGAAGAAAAACCTAACAGAGATTATCAAAGTCTCGGGAAAAAAAGAAAACAAATGTAAAAGGAAAAGGGATGACGAACATTTCAAGAATCGGGAACTTTACGCGAATAGCCCAATACCATTACAAACTCCTTTGCCGATGACCCAATTGTGGCTGCCACTCTATCAGTGGTTGTAGTTTGAAGCCACATATCAATCAAATTATTCAAGGGCATTGTGGGGACTGCCTTCTGACCCATACACTTGATCTCGACCTATAACAATAATTCGAATATTAAAAAATCGACAAGAAATTGGATATAAATGAATATAAACAATTAGTTTCGCTCCACGACTGCATAAAGCATGAAAGGTGACCATATATATTGTCTGTAATTTGGGTTAATGGTAATAGAAATCACATCTCATCAAAACAGAGTGATTGAAAAAGTTACCTCATCTTCACTCGTAAGATTTAACTTCATCTTGAGGTACTTCTGCACAAAGGAAACTGGTATGCTCCTATCCCTGTCGAGTATGCAACGAACATCAATGTATATTATAATAATATTCCGATAAACTATCTTGATTCTTTTCCCTTCGAGAAAAGAAAGATAAACGTGATTCCTTTGTCTTCCAAAGTTTTTACTCAAGTAAAAGCAGGATTCACTGAGACTGCAACTTCATGAAAAAGGCTCCACGAGAGATAGAGCATCATGGAAGGCCAAAAGTATTTCACCAACTTTGAGTCCATGCCAAGCAATTGTTATATTGGAAACTAAAAGGATCAAAGAGAACCGAAAAGGGTGAACACGAAAGCAACATTAAAACAGAAAACATTTTTTTTTTCCGGTTAGCTCAGGAAAGTTCATCAAATGAAAATTGTCAAGATAGATATATGTTAATTTTTGCAGCTGATCCTCAACTCAGTTTGTCTTCTCAGAGATATTTAGCTGCAAGTTTTTTTTTTTTTTTTTTTTTTTANTATTTCATCGGGCAGCTACTAACAAACAGTTTTCATATAAGGTCTTCTCTAGTGTCAAAATATTTCAATTGAATATACTATAATTTGAAAAGAATGATATATAGAACTTGGATGAATTTATAGGTTAGCTTGTAAGGTTGCGTACAGTTGATATTTAGCCTGACAAGCAACTTTGTAAATGCATTTATGAATATACTGGAAAATATCACCATGATTCCTTAACCACCAGTAGAATGGATAATTCATTTAACAATTCATGAACTTGAAATAGGTGGCCATATAACATGCAAAATCATGAAATACAACAAATCACTTGCAATCAGGCAACTAATAACTAGCAGAAAGAGTGACCAACTCATATCTTTTCTACTACTAGATTTTGCTAATTTGATTCTTATCGGTATACATTTACCCACAATTGGTTTCATTCAACAAATATCACCATATAATGTACCATGTACCCTTGTAAGCAAACTCCGTTCAAAATAAAACCAGGCCAACCAAATTCATAATCAGCAATGAGAGCTCGTACCAAATTACAGCACACAGTATCCATTTTTTACCATTTCCAAGTTTATGAAAATAGAAAATCCTAACATATAAGTCTTAGTTAGCCAGAACTCACTTTATTCTCAAATAATTCGCAGGAATTTGAGGCAAGGATAGTGCATTTCCTTCCCTGAAATACATCAACCCAANGTATTAACAGCATGCATATTTACTCATACCTTCATAAGATCAATCTCGTAATAATTAACCCATAGAAAACAAAACTTACTTTTCATCTGAGACCAGTGAAAACCAAATCGGATAATTTTTACGCTCTGATTTTACACTGGCAGCATCAAGCACAGCTTGTTGTGTAACCTTAGATCCTCCAAAAGTTTGCACCTTTTTTTGACGGGCTCTCTGCCTCTTCTTGGGCCTTTCGGGCTCTGTACGAGTTTGGTCCACGACATCTTTATCTTCCTGAGCTTTTGCTTTCTGTCTGTGATCTCTACTTTTAGATTTACTGACCAGCCCCTCGCTCTCACGAGCTTCCGGTTTACCACTAGACCCTTGAACATTATTAAGCTTTGATGACTTGGTACTGCTTGCTGCTTCCACTAAACAGTTCAAAGGCTTCCAAAGGTCAACTTTCTCTTCTTCATAAGCCCCCGATAGATCCTCTCTCTGTGAATCAGGACTGTGCTTAGTGGACGGCTCACCAGAAGCAGAGGTCTGCAAAGAATAATACGGTTAAAGCATTCAAAGCTGGTATTTTGAAGCATGCACAAGATTATATGAGTCCATGTATGCACTAATTTGTGGAATGTTTTGCAATCAATCNGGAATCAAATTTTAGGACTAAATTTGTATTTTTCAATCGAGTGGGACCACATTTTGCAATTTAAAAAAAAAAAATGAAAAGAAAAAATTGTGTACATTATTATACACTCACCTGTGTAATGTTCTGAGTGAATCTCCTCAGAGTTTCAGGTGAGCCGGAGCTCTCGGGCTGCTCGTCCATGGAGTCATCTCCCCTCTTCACTGATCTCTCTATCGTGAAGCTCGTGCCCCTCGACGAAGCCTTTCTTGCAGTGGACTTTGACCTTCTGCCGGTCAACCCACCCTGTGAACACACAAGTGGGGTGCTGAGCCCCAAAGATGAGAGAGACCTTTCCTTTCTCTTTGCAGGAAATGTGACAGGTGGCACGACATCTGGGGCCTTTGCATTTATTCTCTTATAAGGGAATATTTTCGCCCTCACTTCTTGCAGAGTATTATCAGACCTGATTAAAACAAAAAACATAGAAATTTAGAACACCAGACAAATTTCTACATGGTTTCTCAAGTACCTCTTTGGAAATGTGTGTGTGTGTGTGTGTGTGTGAGAGAGAGAGAGAGAGAGAGTTTCTCAAGGTTTATTTGCAAATTTAGTCCTGTAAGTATAAGAAGGTCCCTTCTTCAGAACTATAAGTATACAATGTAGCAAATTTAGTCTCTTGAGTATCACAATGAGGTGGATTTTAGGTTTGCACCGCACAAGTTTTGATTTTTGTGCAGTTTGGGGCCCTATAAACGGTAGGGCCAAAATGACAAAATATTGAAGTACCAGGACCAAAATTTTACAGAATCAGAACTTACGAGATCAAAATCTATGAAAAAAATATATCCGATATGTTGGTATGTGTACTAAGATTGCACATTTATGCTTTCCTCAGTCACTCCGAATTTAAACATACAGAATTGGCAAAACCTGAGATAAAAAATAAGTAATAAAAGTACATCCACCTCAGCTTCTCCAATGGAGCACAACCCAAATCAATGTCACATATCGGGCAACATTCCATCTCCTCATCTGATAGTTTCTTGTATATACATTTCTTGCAAACTACAGGACATCCATAGAATCAAGTTAAGGATCATCATCACAAAA